GTGTTTTGAAAAGTATGTAGTTTGCAACATGCAACTGCATACTTTTTCTTGAAAGCAACTATGTGTTTTCTTTATACCAATTGATTCGTTTTATTATTTTATGCATAAAAGTATTAAGGTAAGATTCCCAAAAATTGAATGCTTTACAAGATATTTTGTATTTTATGTCAAAATACTGTAATTTACAAGCCTCATAACTCGAAAAGTACTTAATGAAAAATAACTTCATTATAGTGTTTTGAAAAGCTCTTGACACCAGCTATTAGATTTTGGAATCAAAAATAGGGGTTTCTATTTAAAAAAACCTAACCTAACCTTGAAATGACTTTGAAGGTCAAGCTCAAGGTCAAATTGAAGGTCACCGTTAAATTCCTCGTTGAAAATTACTTCAGAAATGACCTTGACCTTTTTCAAAAATACCTTACATGAGAAAATATTCAGCCGTCCCGGGACATAATTGACACCCTGTATAATTTAATTATTTTATAAATATTAATTATAATAATAAAAAAAGCCTTACCTTATTTTTATCTTCTTAACCTCTTTCTGTCTAAAGTCCTGCGTAAAGTCCTGCACACGACATGTGTCGGCACTGCATTTCCATCGCCGCGCAAGCGTCAAAGCCACATATACGCTAAGCAGCCGGTCCCTAATCGGAACACTGCGCAGCGTCAGTGTGAAAAGTAACCTTTATGATCAAATGCGGTATAACCTATATAAACATTTGTTTACTGTACAAATCTAATAAAAATTGTTCGGCTATATAATACTTTTTAAAGTTTAGATTGGTTTAAATATTTAATATTATTTTAATAAATATTTAAGCATCATGTTTTATCATGTAAGTCAATTTTTGCATTTTTTTCCGCATAATTCATTATTTTAATCATTTTAATTAAAATGTAAACATAGAAATAACTACTTTATTTTTTTTTAAAGATCTCATTAGAACATGAAATTCTGTTGCATCCTCGATACTTCGGTCCTCAATTACTTGATACAGTAAAGCAGAAACTTTATACGGAGGTGGAAGGCACCTGTACAGGAAAGTGAGTATCAAATTTATATTTTGGTTATAGTTCTGAATTTAATTGTACTTTTAATTGTTTAGATATGGTTTTGTCGTCGCAGTTACGACAATAGATAATATAGGAGCAGGTATTATACAACCAGGACAAGGTTTTGTAGTTTATCCAGTCAAATATAAAGCCATAGTATTTAGACCATTCAAGGGTGAAGTACTAGATGCAATAGTTACACAAGTGAATAAGGTAAATACTTGCTTTGAAGATATAAAACATTTATTCAAGTTTTGACTGCAATATTGGCATAATCTGTAAAGAATTGTTAAACAATAGATTAATATTTTGTTTGTATCATTTTTATAGGTTGGGATGTTTGCTGAAATAGGGCCACTCTCATGCTTCATATCTCATCATGTGAGTAATTACATTTATAATGACAATATAAAATTATAATATTGATTAGCATAAATAATATTTAATGTGAATTTATATTAATAAAAAATAAAATTATAAACGCAATTTTCTACAGTCAATCCCAGAGGATATGCAATTTTGTCCAAATGTGAATCCAGCTTGTTATAAGTCGAAGGAAGAGGTATGTTATGCGATGAGTTTTGTTGTAACAAAAAATTTGTGATTATAAATTTTATACGTAATAATTTCAAATATATGTTTTAGGACGTTGTTATCCAGGCAGATGATGAAATCAGACTGAAAATTGTAGGCACGAGAGTAGATGCTACTGGAATCGTTAGTATTAAATTTATAATGAAAATATTGCAATTATTTTATTGTCTTGTATAATTATTAATAATTAATTTGTTTGGTTCTTTTTTCAGTTTGCTATTGGAACATTAATGGATGATTATCTAGGTAATGATACATTTAATGTTTTTTATTTATTTGCATTTAACATATACTTATTGTTTATTCGTTTGTTATAGGTCTCGTATGCAACTGACATATCTATTGCTCATCTCTAAAGAATTTTCTAACTTATTAAATGTTATTTTATATATCTGAAAACAATATTGTAAAATATTTTCTACTCTCTTTATATACAACAAAATATTTCAATATTATCTGACCAAAAAATATAAAAAATATAATGAATTATAATAAGATACAGAATCATTTTAACAAGCAAGAAATATAATAATGATAATAGAATTTTATTCATGCCTTTACTTTTGTTCAAAAGTATTTACAGCACAATAATATTGCAACAACTCAAAAGTTATAATTATAATATATTTATAAATAAAATTAAATATGAAATTACTGCCTACATATTTATTTAATGTTCTATCTTATGTATTAAAAATTCACAATATGAAGTGAAAGAGATTGTGATGTAAACAAAATGTAGAATACTTCACTAATTTTGTGATCCATGTGCATTTTTCAATTATATTACATAATTATTATCTCTTATCTCTTTCTAGAAATATCAAAGAAAAACTATTCAAAGATTTTCGTAAAAAACATGTGTAGATAGGTTATAATCATACAAAGATACCGTTTAGGTAATATATATCTCTTTAATTCATATATTTCTTATTTACTACCAATCATCTTTTCGCGGTGATATATTTGCAATGAAATGTGTACAACAACAATATTTGAAACCATTAATTGATGGAAAAAGCATTTCTTTTGCTGTCTCTCGTTGTGTCGATTTCAGTAAAAACGCATAAATTCAAGCGCTCTTATAAATTTATAATTATATTATAATATAATATATATATTATAATATATAATATATTACAATATATGTAATATAATTGTAAATTTATAATATAATTTTATTAAAATACATTATTATAAATATACAATTATATTATAAATATATAATTCTATTATTCTATTTATAGTGTATTTACTTCAATTGGTGCAATTTTAAGTTTGAATTCAATCCAAAATAGTCTTCATTGCTATCAAACATGCTTGCAAGACCTGTAAATAGTGCTAATTTCGGTGTGATAGGCAGATCTTCTTTTTTTGTAACCACATCTTGATCAGGCATTATCTTGTCTGCAACGTGCTTATAAACTTTTCCATGGCCATTAACGTAATAAGTAGAGAAGCCATCATACCATCTAAAATTGTTAATTATCATTTACAGACTATTTTTATAAATATTGTTTGCATAAACATTATTTTCCATAAGCAAAATTAGAATTTAAACAATCTGTTTTTTTGAAATTTTAACAAAAAAATTGTAAGTAAAAGAGAACTGCAATTAATAAATATTAATAAAAATAACCTAATTATAATTATTTTATTATTGCGATTACAGATGTATTCGCAATAGTGTTACACTTACATTTCATGATCTCTATCTATAGCTTCTTGTATTTTCCAAAATTTATATTTCCAAAACATGACAATCACTTTCCAACCTGAAACACCTCGTATGCGCCAACGAACTTTCACCGTATTATCTTCAGTGTGCATAGTGATTTTTATAATGTCAAGCTTAACGTGTGCAAACTTCAAGTGGCCAACTGCCCTTAACAGTATCAAATGTCTTGCATAATTTGAAAGTCCCCTGCAATATTTAAATACATACATTATATGTAGAAATATTTAAAATATTTAGAAAAAGTTGAAAAAATATTAATTATATCTTAATTAATTAATAATTAATTATAACTTACTTTGTGGTTATTCCTCTGATATTATTGATGAAAATTATATCTTCAGTATATATTGACCAATTCTGAGGTTTTACAAACAGCTTTGGTAACTGCAAGCAAATTAAAGAAAAATTATTCAAGATAGAAATAATTCATACAGAGTGTCGCAGAATTATTGTACTTTGTTGAGAGTATAATACTACATTCAAAGAATCTAAATCAAAGTGCAATAATTCTAGAATATCGTGCAAATCATATAACATACATCTTGACTAAGACAATCGACTATGGATTGCAGTTGTTCCTGCGATGGTTTACCCTCATTATCATGTGGTACACTTGTTTTTAAAATGCCATCATTAGAACTAAATAAAATATCTCTATCAACATTATGCTGTTTACTACTGTGCAAGCTTTCTGAAGAGATAATCCTACTATTATCTAGAATCAAGTTATTCTTATTGTTTTTTATGGCATTTTGTGCCTGAAACAATGTAACATTGTCTGATGTAATTCCTATAGGAGTTAAGTGTTTCCTGTTTTTCAAGTGAACAATACTGAGCCTCTGTGATTTATTATGTGATCTGTTCTGGCCCTGGGCCCAATATATTGTCGCTTTTGTCCTCTTATCATCAACATATTGCTTGACAAACTTCTCATTCCTTTGACTGTAAGTGTCAAGAAAAGCGAGCGATAAATTTGGATGCAATGTGCAATCCACAAAAGATGGTTTGTCTGCAACGTTTGCTCTTACGGATAATGCTCGCTGTGTGCCCAGAAACTGAAATTTTATACAAATACAGTAATATTGATAATATGACAATTATGAACAGAAAAAGAAAATAATATTTGGCAATCATTGTAATTTTATCAATTATACGTAGACTAAACAAAATATTTGAAGGAAAAAAGCAACCAGCTAATGCAACGTATGTATATTACAAAAGTAACTTTTACACATTTTGACTTATGATCTATTCACCTTCAACATTGTGTGCATTTAATAAAACTTGTATTGCATTTGCGAATGTAATTTATTATGTCCCATGTCAATTTAAATTTAAAAAAAACCAAAATTTTACGTTTTACACAGTCTGCCACAGTAAAATTGTAAAAACTGCTAAAAAATTCGCGTTTGCCACTGTACAACCATGCGATTACATAAGTAATAATAGGTTAGAATAGCGATTTTTAGCAGCGTTGATGCTGCCGATACATCACGATACACGATCCGGAATGGAAAATTACGCTAAATTGATCGGGTAAAATTAACCGGCCGGTACAATGTACCTGCTTCAGAAAGGCGGACAACTCGATATGTTTTCGCAACTCATGACGGTCGAGCTTCGACAGCGGTTTTCGGCTGCTGACGAGCGACGGAAGCTTGCCGGGTAACACACGAAAGCACAAGGACATTGTATGCAACCGTGTGCGTCAATTTGTCGTTCAAATCAATGTTGACATCCTCTTCGACGTCTCTAAATATCACCATGTAACCTTACAAGCGCGCGCGTGCTTCTTAACTGAAAATACACGTTCCCGTGTCAGTAACAGGCAGTAAAGCGCCGCGTGCTATTACCGCGTGATAGTACTGCGAGCTACAATACGTAGGTGCAAAGGCGGTATTTTAAATACTAGCATGAACCGTGTACTGTATTTTTCATTTCAGTTATATCTTCTGCGACTTTATTTCTTATTCTTTTTTTTTTATAATTATATTACTTTACTATTTACTATTTTATAATAAAAAATAATCTTATAAAAAAGTAATAAAAAATCTCATATATAAAATAAGCTATAATAATTTACTTTTGTAACAAATGTAAGACTCAGTTTGTTTATATATACATTTATTAACATGAAGCTATAATGACTGCACAATGCTATACAATGTTATGAAAAATACAACAATAACGTAACATTTTCCTACATCAGATAACTTTGTTAAAAGAATTGAATGTTCAACAAGGAGAGCGCATACCAAGCTAAAGATGAAAATTTATGAATGATGTATCAACGGTAAATACATATATATAAATCTTAAAATACAAGTAAACAAATAATTAAAGTTGAAATACAATAAATAAGTATGTTGTTGCGACATAATTGTTAACATCACGTTATTATATCATACTCACATATTATACTCATTCACACAACAAACTCTCTATGATTTGTAATTTTTTAAATTCTCATTAAAAGTTGTCAAAAATCCAAGATCAGAAATGCAATATAAATGAGTGCAGTTGGATTGTTAAAACGTATCTCCCATAAAATCACAATCTATCGCGGTGGACTGAAATCGAGCCCGACTACAGGCCAAAGCGATTCAAAAGCGTACAGCCGGTCAGATTTGCAGGAAATGAGAACATTTTTATAGATTAATAATGCAATATAAAATGCATTATTTCTTTTTTGCGAGCAATAATCTTGTTCCTTTGCGCTCGAGGACGTAACATATATCGATAGTTTCAGGAGTTTTTTTACGCGAGTAAAATCTTTTTTGGAAGATATATAGTTTTTAAAAAATGTCAGCAATTCTCCCGGAATGCTAAATCGCCTCATAGGCCACATCCACGCCGATTCTCGTGGCTGAACCGTTTAAAAACTCCTCGAGCTCGTCTCGCTCTCTATTCTCATCCTTGGATCGATGCGATGAACGTTTCTTTTTCTTCTCAGACTTCTCCGTTTTTTCCTTATCCTTATCCTTGTCTTTCGACTTCTTCTTTTTTCTTTTTTCCTTCTCATCTCCCTAGAATCGATAATAAAAAACATAAGAAAAAAAATCCATAAAAAAATAAGCCAAGATTAATTAATGTAAAGTTTTATAATGATCAATAATTAGGAAATTGGAAAAGATAATCAATAATCAATTTTTTTTTACCAAGTTACAAATTGTACAAAATAATTACCTTTTCTTTGTGCTTCTTTCTCTCCTTCATCACCGGACTACTAGTGTTAGAGCTCACTTGACGAATGCTGGTATTATCAAGTAGCTCCAGATGAACATTGGAGCTTGTCATGCTAACGTCCAAACTCTTATCACTCAATTCCAGCCTGTCCTTTCTCGTACTGGTGCTGCTCACGTCTTCACCTCCTTCGGGGCTCTGTCGCCACTTGGAATCTCGTCGCAACCAATTATCAATAGAATCTGAATTTATGTCTGGCTGCTCGTTCGATTCGTATTCGTTGGAAATATGCAGTTCTTGCTCTATGGAGGAAACGGAATCGCGTTTTGTAGCTTGCCTTGGCTTTTCGATGTTTATCTCTGGCCCTGATATTGATTCTAATTTGTGCTTTTGTTTCGACAGTGGATTTTCCGCTAGTTTTGGCTGCACAGGAGGAACTACTTCTTCGATAGACGATAAATCATCCTCGTAACCAGCTACGAGAGGATTTGCAGTCTCTGTATCACTGTGTGACGAAATTATACTGTATTAGTAATAATAATAGATAAATACAATAATATTCGAATAAAAAAACTTACTATTAAACTTCTTTAATATTAACAAAATTTTATAAAATACTTCTTAATAATTTAAAGTTTCAAATTGTTAAAAATTCTAATAAGTTTAAATAAGATAAGAAAAAAATCTCTGCTTTATATGCTGTAAAGTGTAAGTTACATTTCATATAACCTAACCATTATTTATTTAGAAATACAAATTTGAAACAGTTTAGAGAGAGCTTTTCACTAACCTTTCAGAATCTACTTCCTCTTGTTGCACTTTTTGTGGTGAAACTTGGCTGCTATCTTCCAAAAATGACCTGTCGAGCATTCCATCATCTGGAACAAAGTCTTCAACACTAGTCAACGGTGCGTTCAAGTTGAGATTTTTAATATTTGGTAGTTTTCCATCCACTTCCTCTTCTTTCTTATGGCCAAAGATTTTGGACATGAGCGACTGCGGCCGGTTGAGCGAATCTCTTCTCTCGCTGTTATCGTTGACAGATTCAGCTGGTTTAGCAACTTCTAGTTTTGCAGCGGTATTTTGCGACGTAGACGGTGTTGCAATTTGCGAAGTCTTCATAGAATTTTCCAACGTGCTTGTCGTGGAGCTCTCTTTTCTTGGTAACGATTTTATGTCTAAATTTTTCACCGGTATTGGAGTTCCGCCGCCGATCGGTCCAGACATTGAGACCGATCTTCTGATCTCTCCGGCAACATTCATGTTCGGAGATGCAAGGTGGTAATTACTCATAGATGACGGAACATTCGTGACTAGATTACTAGCGGATACCGAATCGGCAATAGCTCTTCTTCGATTCACGAGGTTGTCTAAGAATTTGTTGTAGTCAGCATCGTCACTGTCCTGGAAAAGATCGAGTTCCTGGACGGTCAGGCGCGTCTCTTCCTCATTGGTTTCAAGTTGTTTCAGCAGTGTCTCGCGTTGCAGTTGCAGGAATGGCAGATTGAAAAATTTGTGCAGCAATTTTAGGCCAAAGCCGTTTCTCATCGACGACTCGGCGTATCTCACCTGCAAAAATTAATTTAAATTTGAAATTAGAAAAGCTAATTAATGAGAAAATAATATATATACAGAATATAAAGCAATTTAATTTCTTTTGAATTCTTGATATACTAATTCATCATTAGACAGATATTTGCTAGAAATTGAGTATACAAAGAATCACATAACACAATAAGAATTACTTGTGCTGTTCTCCCATGTAGCGAGTCTATAAAGTATGTCACATGGTCCGCAGTAACGGTTCTGTGATGTGACATGTCGCAGTGATTTCCAAGAACAATAACGGGTATGTGGCTAGGTATCTTAGGCAGTTCTCGTTGAACATAATCAAACGTCCAACTTTTCGTAATATCCATCACAATGATGACGCCATTGGTACCTTTATAGACATCGAGAAATTCAGCATCCAAAGCAGGTTCCTCAATAACATTCTCCGGGTTAGTCGGAGCGTTGTCCATTTTGAGACCTTCTAATTTCCGACGACGTCTACCGCGATCTACGACATCCCATACTTCCACTTTGACTACATCGTCAGTGGCCTTGTAATTCCACTGTATACTAGCCACCTGTATCTCTTCTGTGGGTATATACTCTTCGATAAACTTTTGTCCTTGCAGTCTATGGAATAAACATGTCTTTCCTACATTTCTGTCTCCCTTGATTATTATTTTCACTAAAAATAATGTGTAAAGTTTATATTACATCTGATATCTAATTCCTCTTTCAATATTGAAAGTATATGTGCACTTACTGTTATATTGTACACCCTTAGCAAACTTTCTCTGCAAATTTGTTGGCATAGATTGATGGGTTGGCCGAGGAGACACATTTCCAGTGCCATCGGACTTACCAGCTAGTCTTTTAATAGCGGAGAACATTGTCTGATCTTTCCTCAAAGAAGCATTCGTTTAAAAACGTTTGATACTTCAAGAGAAGTTTATCACAAATATCTGTAAAAGATATATTAAAATAAATATAAAAATAACATACATGATATAAAAAATATTGTATAAATATCATAATAATAATAAAAATATCTTTAGTATACTTTTCACTGAATAAAATAAAGATTGAAAAATTTTCATTGTTGGAATAATAATATTCCACAAATTATGATACAAACTAAGATACATTATATGTTACAATACAGTGACAATAACAAATAGCAATACTTTATAACAATTATTACATTACAGATTCTATTCATCATCTAACTACGACAATTTTAGCAAAATAAACATTTTTTGAAAGATAAAAACAATTAACGCCCATATATCTTGTCAAAATACAAAAATTTAATACTCTAGATAGAAACATTTCTTTCACGGTATTATCGTTAGAAGTTCGACCAATTTCGCAACATGTAGAGTCTTTCGAAGAGTCGTTAAATTCATATAAAACTTATATTATAGAAATCGCGTGTAATGTGAAATTATAATTACCACATGTTACATATTCCAGGTTTTGTGATTAAAACAAACGTTGTTAGATATGACTTTGTCTGCGACAGCTGTCATATGCAGCAGCAGCTGTTCTCTCCTCATCGATGTCGCAAAGTTGGCAGCACCGACGGCCATTCAGCGTATCATTCATAAAAAATCGATTGCCGATAAACCCTTACATCTATTTGTTTTAAATGTATGTTACATATTGAAATATTTCTCTTTATAATTTATACAAAACATAAATTTTATTTTAAATATAAAAACCATAAGAAAATTATTCTCATTATAATTTCAATAAATTTAATTTTTTTAAATATTTTTACAGAGAAAAATGTAATTACACTTATTTTTATTTATCTTTAATAATAAATAAATATAAACATTATTTTTAATATCTATTGTATTTAATTTTTATTATTATAAAGAAATTTTGTTGGTTTTAAGTTTTTAATTTAGAAATCGAACATAAATAAAATTTAAGCAATTGTCGGCTTTTTTAACGTATATGATTACACCTGTTATTTGTTACAAGCTAGAAAAAAGGTTTTTGCATTAATAATCGTGTTACATTGAGTACACCTGGTTTCACTGAAAATCGGACAAAGTATTGAATATCAACATTTTATATATTTTAAAAATAATTTATTACTAAAATTACAAATTATTGAAAATTATAAATCTAAAATTGTTACATGCCGTTGTGAATATTCGATAACTGCTCTGTAGTTGCTTGGTAGAGCAAAGGTCTCAATTCCTCTTTCACTAAAGAGTGCATCTCACCATGTGTAATCATTAACACCGAATTTGCGTTTATTAACGCTTTAAACGCTTCCTCTGATTTTCTTAGATGCAATTGTATCTTTCCTATTGTGAGATACAGTAATCCTGTTAAAGGATGTATCTCTCCGTAATACAATCTGAAAAATGAGTAACAATAACTTGAATTAGATATTAACCCTCCATAATTTTCACTGAAATTGTTATAGAAATCACTACGAAATAATTACGTACAAATATCCTGGCATCAATTCTTTGCCATAAAACTCCGCATCTTCCCAACATTCTAAGTTCATAGCAGCGATGTGAGCTGCTTCCAAAGTACGAACATGTTGTACATTGAACCTGTGCAATATATTCTTTTGCTTCTCCAGACACATCTTGCTGATATCAAGATCTATTAATCAAGATTTATTAATAAGGATAAATATAAGGATAACTTTTATTATTAAAATAAATATCATTTTAAATTTTATATCTATTAAAATAAATTATTTAGCTTTTTTAATATAAACATTAAAAGGATACAAGCCATAGTCTTCATTTTCTCTAAATTGTGAGCAGTAAAATCGGTTACTTCCCGAAATTTTTCTTTAAACTCCTTAGACAGTTTTGTGCCACATTTTTCACATTCCTCAGCATCAATCAAACATGGAGAGTCACACAATGAATTTGGACATGCAGTTGCCTCGGCCATAGGATCGGGTTGTTTACATTTTTCACAATCGCACAAGAAATAGTATGAACTGTGCAATTCCTCGCGTCTATCTTTGTTAGAATTAAGCAAGTCAACATACGATATTCTTATCTGCAAAACAAGATTGTATAAGTAGATTTTTCAAGGCATAAAATATTTATTAAGTATATTAATCAGTAACCTTATAAGGAACCAATTAAATTTTTTAAATTCTAAAATTTATAGAAGAAATAGAAAGCATTTTTGACATTTTCAGACTTTATATTTTTATTTTAATTTTGTCAATACTTACTTGTGACCAATCTAAACAGGGAAGATCTACCAATGTTCTAATAACAATAGTAGTTCCCTCAAAAACAGCAACTGAATTAGGTTTGCAACTGTGATCCATCACAGATGGTCCCAAATAAATGCCAGCTGCGATGGTGTTCATATTAATATCTAATATATTAAAGCAGTTAGTACATATTCTGCCGTAAATACCCATCAATTCTGCAACATTGGGTATTAGAGTCTCGCCAAGAAACTCATATAATACTGCACACAATGTAGTAAAATGTTCCAGTCGCTTTGTGTCTTTCTTTATATCCGAATAATCTGTAATCCAAATTCCAATTAGTTATCTTTTCATGTTCTTTCTGAAAGAATTATTTTATTAGAAAAATACTTACGAGACATTAAATCTTTAAATTTTCTAAAATTAGTTTCTGTATAATAGTCTACTTCATTAGCTCCACCCTGCTTGAGTTTGAGAATTATACGTGCCATGAGCCGTGCTGCATCCGGCATAATTTTCCATTGTGCCACCACTTTCTTTAAACGTGGACATTCTACCTTGTGTATTGGCCATGATTCCTTCTGACAACTACGGTCGCAATAATATACATACTGACAACTAGAACACTTTAACAGTTTCCCACTGCAATAAATTATATCTTGGTATTGTAAAATGAAATAACAGATAAAATATACATATGCTAAACACATTAATTTAAATTCAAAGTAATTAATTTAGAACGACTAGCTTATAAATATTTTCAATTGTCATCACATACTGTTCTATACCTTTTCAAACAATTGTCACATCGAGTAGTTCTATGTTTTTCATTAAGAGTAAAGACAAATGGTTTCTTAGTATAGATTGCTGTTCCTCTTTTTACCACATCACAATTCATTTTTTATATAAACTCACAAACACATTTGCGAAATATCAAGTACCTGTTTCAAATGATTGTAAAGTAACATCCTAACCTAATCTAATACAACCCAACCTGATTTAATCTAAAGTAACTGAAACAAATACCGGTATTATTGATAACCTTAAATTTCTGATTTACTGATAACTTTCGCTATTTTATTTTTTAATTTGACCATTTATGGCGTAAATTTTGCGTATTATATATGCATTAAAATAGTAAGAAAGAATATGTAAATTTATTTTTGAAGAATATAAATGGAAAAATACACATTCAATATTTATATAAGTCCTTTTCAATAATTTGTAGTACCTTTTTTGCTGGTTGTTTCGCTCTTTTATAATTTATTTTCTTTTTCTCCATTTTTTTTCTTTATCTTTCAATATATACTTGATATATTCTAAATGCAAAAAATTGCAATTAAACAATTTAAAAGGCTTTTCAATATTTTAAAAATATATATTGTTAGAACTTTTTAAAACATATATTTAGATTTTATATTGAGAAATGAAAGGAACAAGAATAAAAATTACAAACAAATGTAGAAAACGCTTATTTGGAAAATACGCGCGCGCACCGATCTTAATAAACTATCTTTAGCATCACACATACAGCAATTTGAGATTTATAAAAGTAATATTAACTACTTGGGGCTTGCGTTCTTAATTTAGCGCTAACTTATATAACTTTAGAGAGGTTCATGAATAACCGATATAATATAAAATTTAAATTCGATATAGTTTCTTATTCAACATATATATAACTCTGTATAAAAATTGTATAAGTTACATTCGTAATATAAAAGGAAATAACACAAATTTTCAACATTCCGTCGATAACACTTATTTGATACAACATACCAATCGTTGCCTCAATTGTTAGTGAAACAAATTAACATGTTTATAATTATGTATATAAATTGTTCTACAATTTTGTAATTTTGATTAATCAATCTCTAAATAAATTAAAAGGGTATAATAGATAATAATAACGGATAGAATAAAGCGCATGTTAAATTAAGGACTGGAGGAATAACAGGACAAACGATTTTCTATCAAGATTATCTCTTTTATATATATATATATCTGATAAAATAATTTTACCTTCGTAGGCAATGGTCGCATCTTTCATCGCGCACCGCTGATCTTACAACATAGGCAAACGGTTTCCGGTACAAAATAGTGGTGCCTTTGCTTACGGGGACGCGTTTACATCCTTGATTCTTGATTCTCATCTCTTCCGATTTCTGAGATTTTCACCTTTTCGTCGACTACTTGGAATAGCGAAGGCATTACACTTTTCCTAGACTTTATAGTTGCACCTTCCTTCTCATTTCTGACGTATGGACTCGAATGCGTGCTATTTTAAGACCAGTTTATTTTCGCATGACGTATATTATTGGAGCTAACTAATAACCCTTAAACCTGCTGATTTCTCACTAACACCTTTCTTTCACTCTTCGCAATTAAGACAAATCTGGAACGTTTATATACAGAATCAATTAAGTTAAAAAAAATTATGAGTGAAACTAAGATCAACGGATATCTTCTCTCCGAAAATTTGTAGATTCAAGATAGTGGAAGCATATTATCCGGTACTCAAACTTGAATCTCAAAACAATTAATTCAGCTCGCAACTAAAAATAGATGAATTAAAAACATATGGGGAAAAAATACATTATTCACATCGGTCGCAGTGTCATATGTACAATGCCATTATTCATAATATAAATTAGTCTTTGTATATTTTTTTTCTTCTCTTTCACGCTAATTTCATGTCTTGAAGTGTCGCGGATAGTTTTAGATCACTTCCAAATCTTGAATATTTTCGTCACAATGATAAAACGTGAATCTTGATTAATCGAGTGATCAATGTAGAACGATCGTTCTGGATCAATTATATCGACGTACTAGGTTTCTTGTCGTTTGACACACAATAATTCGCCTAGAATTTCTTTGAGCGTACAAAGGGACAGGAATGGGAGACATAATCGCTTTAACTTTCATGACAACAACCCGATGATGTATGCATCCTTTTACATCCGTGAATTGGATTATTTCTACCATTCTTTCTTATGCTCGTCCATTGATACTCCACCTGGACCTAGAGAGACTATCATCAGGAGACCTCCAATGACTGATAATGTCTGCAATAAAATATAAATAAATGAAAAATCGCCGCCGGAAGATTTGTATACAAAATGTTTAAAAATTAAGCTATAATTGAGATTTACGAATTCAAAATAATTGAAATTGGCAACTTTTTCACATAACAATTTTTTTTATATTGTCTTGTATATATGGTGGTTTTTTCCAAAAATAAAATGTTAAAATACTAGTATCTTTTCAAGAGTAATTAATTATATGTAATTAGTAATATATCAAACTTACCTGGAAGAAGTCGTACTTAAGAAAATCCCTGAGCGGCTTGTAGTCTGGAATGGTCCACCATGCGTTGTGATAAAAATTCAATGCAGTGAGTAAGACGACAAGTAGTAACGCGCTCAGTTTAGTCTTGTAGCCAATTGTCACCAATACCATGAGAATACTGCCAACAATGTCTTGAAGAATTTGTAAAAAGGATATTTCAAAGCGGATCAGCGTGATGAACATAAATGCCAGCAGAATTCGACCAGCCAATTGTAGTAGATTTTTAGGTTTGTTATCGCCGAGACTAGGTACACCAGCGAATAGTGATCTACCTTCGACACGGGACTCAGCGAGTACAAGAAGCAATGCTCCTATCAAAGCCAGATTCCTAAATAAGAATTGCATATCCCATAGGATGCTGTAGGCTATGGTTTGCAGTATCACGATGAAGAATAGGACACCACAGGCTATGCTGACTCTCCATCTAGCAATCACCATGACACATCCGCCAAGTTGTCCGAGAAGATTCACAAGGACAAAGATTGTAGCCAAGAATTTTCCACAGCCCCATGACGCGTCCATATACTCTCGCTGCTCGCTCCATTGGAACCACATTCGCAAACCGTCTTCCAGGAATGTAGCGATAAGACATAGTCGTGCCAATGTAGGAAGCACATGTTTGCCATTGCGTATTACCTGCAAAAATAATAAATATTCTAATTGGCAATGATAATGGTAATAATGTTGTGATTATGCTTATTAAATTCAATTGGATAAAAAAAATTAATGTTTGATATACACAAGCAACAAAAACTTATCATTTTATTTTAATATAAAATTATATTTCTTTTTGTAACTTTTTTGTGACATATATTGATATACATTTCTCAATATAAAGCAAAATATAAGGCAACATATATTATATTCATAACTTGATATTGTCTTTAATTCTTGCAACATATATATGCTAACTATTATATGTTGATTCTCAAAAGTAAAACATAGATAAGATTTATAAGATTTTTATTAAAAAATATTTTTTAAAAATATATTTTTTTATTGACTTAATTTTAAATAAAGATTTTATTTTGTTACTTAACTTTAATTAATAATATAAATAAAATATAAACTTCTTACAAATGTTTCAACTTTGCTGACATTAAATATGTTACAATTTTAAATATGAATACGAAAAGTAGGTCTGTGAAAGTGGATAATTTATCCATATGTCCAACAAAACTCTAAGCATATAAATATCAATTTGATCCACTTTATACATAACATTCTTAATAATAAATAGAAACTCCTCTATTGTCTTCTCAATAAAAATATGAACTAAGATGATAAACAGATGATAAGTCACACATATCAAAAAGTCACAGTCATCATACCAGACATATGCATTTTTGAAAAGGATTAAATATTTTCAAAAATCTACTTGTGTCAATAGTATCTATATAATGATTGATGTGAAAAGAGAACGTGAAAGGTCCCGCGCAAATTAATCATCGTTCTCGTGATAGTTGGCGATGTCTTTGCCATCTAAATACCTGTAGAATTCATAACCTGTAATTTTAACTACTGAAAGAATACACGTCACCGTCACTTAATTACGCTACATAATTCGTAGTTATAACGCATAAGGCACGGGTAATCACGGTACGTGTAAAAATATGGGAATACACGTTGGGCGACGATGACGTTGACAGGAGTGCGTAGCCGCCGCGCGGTACGCTCTCCCGCAGGATTTAACTTATTCCGTCTTTTCTTCCTCGGGGTTCGATTGATCGAAATCGCGATTTACACGATGGGGACGATGGTACGATGTATTGGAAAATTCACCTGGTCGGCGATTTCCTCCGCCCTCGAGAGTACCTCTTGTGAGATCACCATCGTGTGTTTTATTCAAAAATCGAAAAAATAACCATACACACACCGACGTACACACGTGCGCGCACGCAAGTGGTACGGCGCGGCCACGGGGGCGTGCGAAGCGACGACAAGTGGTAGGAAAGGGAACTGAAAGCACCCAACGCTCCTATGTATGATGTGGAGATCGGCTGGCCGGGAGACGCGCGTCACTTCCGGCGTACGTGTCACGAAATGGCGCTGCGTTGATCTTTGATTCAACAAGTTGAGAGCGAAACTCGTCTCAAATGTTTTTTTTTTTGGTAAGTTCATTAGTGCTACTATGTAATAAAGGATAAGAATAGGAATAAGAATGAAGAATTTGAGTCATAAAGCTTACAATTAATTCTGTCTCCGTGTATATATACTTTTATTAATTATTGATAGCTCTTTTTGGAAATCACCAAAGGTTATAATTCACCTACCTGTATTCGAAACTATCATTTTTTTTCATATCTAAAAACTTTTTATGTACGAACACTTTTTTGTTTTATGATACTTTAATTATTTCTAATTTCTGCTAAAATATTTGTAATTTTATTTTTAGGTTAAGTAACCGCTGTGAAATCCGCACTTCGATCGAGATTCTTTTCGAGAATCGCAATATCGCTTTTCTGTAGACTTCAAGCAGAGATTAGTCTGGGTTAGTCGGGATATATCGCGGAGATTGTAGAGTTCCATTCAAACTGCTCCGAATTGATCGTGATTCTTAGTGTTTAAACAAATGCATGCACAAAGTCATCGCGAATGTTTCTTGTAAAATGTCGAAAGTTTGTAATAACATGTTAAATATCGCGTACAATCACTATTGTTGCGATTTCGGATACTCGATTCATTTTTGCGTGCTTCGGATATCGTCCGAAATGCATCGAAAATGCTGAGAATGCACAATCATGTTTAGGTATGTATATCTTTATAATACATGTTTATTTTATAATTAGCGCAGCTAATTATATACTTTTTGTAATAATTCATGATTTCGATCATATTTACGAAATTATTATAAATTTATCCCTATGATTAGTGTGAAACTTGTCATCTTGTCGATCGTATCGATATCTCGACAATCTCATTGTCAGTGTTGCCTCTGCATAAATCTCGAATACAGGTTAGTCACTAACGCGTTGCAGCAATTAGTAGCAGTTACTGAAGTCGCATTGAAATCGCTCCGTATTTATCACGGTTGTTAATATTTGAAAGAATATTTTACGTCAAAAGTCATTGCAAATATCTGTCGTGGTATGTCAAAAATTCGTAGTAACGTGTTAGATTATCGCGCACAATTGCTATTATTGCGGTTTCGAGCATTGGCGATCGGCTTCTGTGTGTTAGTACGTATGAAATTCTCTTCGCATATATCGCGCCATTTTTTGCCAAAGTTCATCGAAAATACAATGTATGTATAATCACTATGTATGACATGAATATATTTTTGTCTTATAATTAGCTGCTAAATATAATTTTTATTTTGAGAATTACAAAATTTTCATAAGTTTTTTCATAAGTTCAAATCGAGGTTAGTTACGAAATGCATCGCGGCGATCGTAAATTCGCATTCAAACTGCTCTGTAATTTTCGTGATTGTTATTGTCTGAAAGAATCTCATGTGCTAGATAAAAATCTCATTTTATATATCTAGGTGTGCAAGCAAAAATGGATTTCCATGAAGCAGCGCAAAATGGAGCAAGAGAGGAGTTGTCCAATAAATTCAAGTTATCAACGGATTTTCAACGTTTACATCGTCGGTAAGTACTATTTATCATTTGTTGATTTGTTGGTACATATATCATGCGTGCAATATATGCAGTAGGTGCGACATATGCTGCCTAGGTGGTAGTATCATGCACTTATAGAATAAAAAGTGTTTTATGTCTATAAAAATAAGGGATATTATAAATCTTACCAAAGAATTTAAAAAGAAATTAATATATACAGACAATTCTAAAATTTTAAAGATTAATAATACATGAAAAACGATATGATAATGATGACAATAACGCTTTTTTATATTTTTGTCTATTAACATAATTAATCCAATGGTAATAATTTTTTTACTTAAATATTTTTTTTCCTTTTTAAATCGCGTTTTACAACACTCGTGACAGTGTGCAAAATTTTTGCTTTGCTTGTGTTGTACAAACGGAATGAATAATATTTTAACAGATAAAGCTGAATCAAATTTTGACAATTTGGAAGACGGCTGAAACGTGCCCTGATATTTATGCATCATGACTCGGATTGTATTTAACAGTTTGGCATCTCTAAATATTTGATATATGTGAAAGATTAAATTTGAAACTAAAATGTTAGCTTTTAATAGTTTGTGCACTCCCTCAAGTAAATTAATCATACAAAATATAGTTTTAGATTTGTAGCCAGAGTCACGAAGTGTCATGTGTCTGGACACGATAACCCATCCCGAATTGTCAAAATTTAGTGCAACTTCATGCATTATTATTGATTTCGTGTGCACATGCGAATATAGTCGACAACTGCAACTATCATCATTTTGTCTTGCAAGCGCCGACGTCGAGTTTCCTCGAGATGTTGCTTCGCGATACCTACTATCTGCTACTGCGAATACGTACCGCATATGTATACCGTGTATATCAAGTCGTAATAGAGACGAGTAGGTTTACTGCCTCTGCCGCTGCCGGTAGGCGCTGAGTTACTTGACTCTACCCTATTTGGAACTGGACAGGAAAGGAAGCTGACGAGCATCTGTCCGCTGATCTTGCTTGCATCTCTATATATGCGTTTTGAGGTCGCACACATATAGATAGTTCTCTATTAAGATAGAAACTTCACTAAACTTCCGTGTACGTCTGCTCGTGCATTCGTATAAACTTACATAAGAGGATTGACAGAATTTGAGAAAACTTTGGTAAAAACTTCAATAGAATCAAAAGAAGGAAAAATAAAAAAAAGAGAAGTATGAATAAGTCCTTTTTATTTTACGAAAACTTGTCTAAGAATAACTATGGAAACATCTTTCACATACTTGTGTCAATATGCCAAAGCTATGCGCTATATTTGAAGAAATGTAATTGAATATTTACGCTATTTAGAATCTTATATTTTATATTAGATCAATTTTATTTATTTTAAAAGTGGATACTTTATTAATATAGAAAAACATTGATTTTATAATTGTCGCAATTGACATTAAATATTTTACTATTCCAAAAAAGAAAAAAATCTTTTAAATACGAGATAATAAGCTTTTTTTACTTTGCAATAACTCAATATTTATAAAAATAACCATACACTTTTAACATTTGCGTTAATTTCTCTCTTTTTAAAACCAAATATCATATAACAAACTTAGTTATCTATTTCATGTTAATTATTATCATAATACACATTATTGCGTCAATTTTCAGATCTTGATTTTAATTATTTTAATTATTTATTTTTATTAATTTTATTTATTTATAAAATACTTCACTTTCGAAAACCACACTTTCTTATCAAAATTCTTTCCATCCTCTTAAAAATCTGTAGGGTTGCAAGTGCATCCCTTTGCACCGTTTTCGCGACGGTGGTTGTGGTCGTATCATATGTATGGTCGAGACTTACGTAAGTCGAGGACCGAGTGTGGTTGCACTCGTTCTTCGAAGCATCGTCGCAGCAGAAATCGAGCGACGAGAACCTGGCTCTGTGTGCGCGAGGTTGGCTGGCGCCGTGCTGTCGCATCCTATACAGAGGATTGCTTTCGCACAGAAACACAGAGACAGAGTCCTCGTGGGTGTCCGTTCGTGCAGAGAGAGATAAACGGCGAAAAAATCGGAACTACAGCTATCTCGAAATACCGATGCTCAATAACGTACGCGTGCGTCAGCATGCTATTATTCGATGGAACTGACGTGTTCTCTCTGGCAAAAAGAGTTTGTTTGGTTATAATTAGACGAATCTTGATTACAGATAAATGACATAAGAGTGTCTTGTTGTCAAAATAAATCGGGCAATAAGCATCGTTTGTTTTAATCTCTTTTTTGGTCGATTTAAGGAATTGATGGAATGGAATTATAAAGATAAGATTGGAAGAGATAAATATATGTGTGTGAATTAAGGTTCCAAGTTCAAACATTTTATAGTGTGAGATTAAAGGATTCTGTGTTAGTAATAATGATAAATATATATGGCCAATTTTCTATGTGGTATAGAAGTGCCAGTTGGTCTGACAAAACTTGAATATTTAATTCCTAATTATGAATGATAACAGCTATTTAAATATTTGGTGCCGCGATAGTTAGTAGACTAATTAGTAGACTTCCTAATTAGTAGATCATGAGACATACGGAACATATGCTACATATATGAATATCTTGCCAGTGCTAAATGGCGTTCTATGGAAATTTAAATATTAATTTTTTTCGAAAAGAAATGATAGATT